CTTAGGGCAAATACATATGGGAATGAAATAAAACAATGCATTTTCTTGTCATGATAGGTCATGTTCTAGTCATAAAACACTTTTTCTAATAAGCCATTCCTTTGAAAATATGCAAAAGTGAGTATTTTGCAAGAATTATAAAGCCTATTATTATAGAAATACATGTATCTCTATTTTTCTATGATTCCCTTCTTTTGGAGGAGAGTTAAATAATAGTATATTGATTACACACTGTTGTTTTTAAAAATATATTTTCATATATCTTAGAGAGGGAGAGAGAGTGAGAGAATTAGAAACATCAATGATGAGAGAGAATCATTGATTGCTTGCCTCCTGCACGCCCCCTACTGAGGATCCAGCCAGTAACTTGGGCATGTGACCTGACAGGGAATCAAACCAGCGACCTCTTGGTTCCTGGATTGATACTTAACCACTGAGCCACGCCGACCAGGCTTCACACTTTTATTGATATTAATAAATAGTAAACAAAAAATAATATTCTGCAAAAAAGGCAGAAAGTGCTGCTACTTCCTTTGAAAGGACAGCATACATAGGATGTCTTTCACTCTTATTAATTTTAAATCGCATCAGTCTGTGTGTATCTTTTGTTCTGAGGTGAGTCTTTTATAGACAGCATATATATGTATCATGTTTTCTTATCCATTCAGTTACCCTATGTCTTTTGACAGGAGTATTTAATCCATTCACATTTAAGGTTATTATTGATGGGTATTTATATATTGTCATTTTTATTTTCTTTATGCCTATGATACTTTCTCCTTTTCTTCTTCTTAAAGCAGCCACTTTAAACATTTTTTGCATTGCTGGTTTGGTGATAAGGTACTCCTTTAACCTTTTTTTTGCCTGGAAAACTTTTTATTTTATCTTCAATTTTAAATGATAGCCTTGCTGGACATAGTAGTCTTGGATTTGGGCCCTTGCTTTTCATTACTTTGAATATTTCATGTCATCCCCTTATTGGCTGAAGTGTTTATATGGAGAAGTCAGTTGACATTCTCATGGGAACTGCTTTGTAGGTAACATTCCATCTCTCTCTTGCTTCCTTTAAGATTCATTATTTATCTTTAACGTTTGCCATTTTAATTATGATGTGTCTAGGTGTGGGCCTCTTTAATTTCATCTTGATTGGGACTCTCTGTGCCTCTTGATTTTGTGTGACATTTTCCTTCACCAGGCTGGGGAGGTTTTCTGTCATTATTTCTTCAAACACACTCTCTGTCCCTTGCTCACCTTTTCCCCTTTTGGTATTCCTATTATGCAGATGTTGTTACATTCCATGCTGCCCCAGGGCTCCCTTAAGCTATCTTCCTGCTTTTTAATTCATTTTTCTATGTTCTGCTCTAATTGGGTATTTATTTCTATTAATACTTTGTCTTCCAAATCACTGATTCAGTTCTCTGGTTCATCCAGTCTACTTTTAATACCGTCCAGTGTGCTATTGATGTGAGATATATCATTCTTCATTTCTACCTGGTTCTTGTTCATGGCCTCTGTTTTAATTTGCACTAAGTTCCATAAGCATCTTTATAACCATTGTTTTCAACTCCAAGTTTGATAGGTTGCTTGTGTCCATTTCATTTTTTTTTCTGGAGATTCTTTTATCTAATTTGGGGTTTATTTCTTTGCCTCCCCATTTTAGCTGTAAAAATATCATACACCATGACCAAATGGAATTTATTCTGGGGATGCAAGGCTGATACAATATTGGTAAGTGAATAAATGTGATACAGCACATAAACAAACTGAAAGATAAAAACCACATGTTCATATTAATAGTTGAAATAAAAGCATTTGAGAAAATCCAGCACCCTTTTTTGGATAAAAACTCTCAGTAAAGTGGAATATAGGGATCATACCTCAACATAAGAAAGGTCATATAATGACAAACCTACATCCAACACAATGCTCAATGGGCAAAAACATTTAATCCATTTACTTTTAAAGTTATTATTGATAGATACTTGTTTGTCACCATTTTTATTCTTCATGCCTGTGTTCCTTCTTTGCTTCCTATTTCTTCTTTTTACAGCAGACCCTTTAGCATTTATTGCATTGCTTGTTTGGTGCTAATAAATTCTCGTAGTTCTTTTTTGTCTGTGAAGCTCCTGATTTCACCCTCAATTTTGATTGATACCCTTTCTGAGTACAGTATTCTTAGATTCAGACCCTTTCTTTGCATGACTTTGTATATTTCATTCCATTATCTTCTGGCCTGATGTGCTTCTGTTGAGAAATCAGTTGCTAGTTTGATGGGGGATCCTTTGTAGGGGACTTTCTGTCTCCCTCTGGATGCCTTTAAGATTCTTTGTTGTTGGTGTTTGCCATTTTAATTATAATGTTTTCTTGGTGTCAGTCTTTTGGGGTTCATTTTGTTTGGGACTCTGTGAGCCTCTTGGACTTGTATGAGTTTTTTCATTCCTACATCAGGGAAGTTTTCTGTCATTATTTCTTCAAACAGGTTTTTTATTCCTTGCTCAGTTTCCTCTCCTTCTGTCACCCCAATTATGCAGATGTTGTTTTTGTTTTGTGTTATCCCAAAGTTCCCTTAGGCTCCCCTCCTTTTTTTTAAGTATTTTTTTTCTAGATGCTGCTCTGTTGTGCATTTTTTTTCTACCTTGTCTTCTAGCTCACTGATGTGTTCATCCACTTCTGCTAGTCAACAGCTGATGCTTTCTGTTGAATTTTTTATTGCAGTGATGTCATTTTTCATTTCCTCTTGGTTCTTAAACATATTGTTGAATTTATATTCCAACCTTTTCACTATCCTTATGATCATTGCTTTGAATTCTTTCTCTGACATATTGCTTGCCTCCATTTTATTTACTTCCTTTTCTAGTGAGGCCCCCTTTTCTTTCGTTTTAATTTTTTTTCACACTATCAATCCTAGTGTATATAAAGTGATATGCCATTTTGGTTTTAACTTGCATGTCCCTAATAAGTAATGATGCTGGACATCTTTTCATGTACCTATTGGCCATTTGTGTGTATACATACATATAGATAGATAGATAGATAGATAGATAGATAGATAACGATAGATATATACTAGAGGCCTGTTGCCAGAAGATTCCCGCAAGAATAGGGCTTTCTGTGGTGGTCTCCGCTGCCCTGCCTGCTTCTCTCCCCTCCCCGCCCCGTTTCCAAATATTGACTATTGCAAATTATGCTGCAGCAAACATAACAGTGCATTTATTTTTTTAATTAATGTTTTGAGTTTTCAGCAATTTAACTTCTCAGAATTTCTATGATCATTATAGTTTTAAAACTTAAACCACAAAAAATCTTTTTGAATTTGGCCTAACAAAATACTTTGTTGAAAAAGAGTGTTTCATCCCTATAGTTACTTAGAAATGCTGGAGTATGGTGATAACAAAAAGATCAGTTTTTACTCATTCTTATGCTTGTATTAAAAATGTCTGCAAAAAATATGCTGCCCTTTATCTCCTGCATTAGGAAGGCTTGCTCTCACTGCTTAGCCCATGGGAGGCCACTGCTCTACCACAAGCATCTTAGCAAGAAAGTGGCTTTATCAGTGTTGTTTGTTCCCTACAACCATTATGTCATTACTTAAGAGTTAGTAGTGACTTTTAGTAGGCTGAGCATTTTGTGCCTTCTGAGCACCTTTAGCTCAGAGCTGTAGGTGGTGTGCAGCAAATCCCATTATGCAATAGGTAAATAGGAAATGGTTTATTTGCATGCCTCTTTTGGGGGAGTATCATTGTCACCCTCCTCATATCAAATCATATTCCCATCTGAGTTCCGACAATCTAGACCCTAATAGTGCTTCCTATCCCAAACCAATACAGTAGCACTACCATTTATTTATTTATTTACTTACTTATTTATTTATTTATTAAATATTTTATTGATTTTTTACAGAGAGGAACGGAGAGGGATAGTAAGCTAGAAACATTGATGAGAGAGGAACATTGACCAGCTGCTTCCTGCACACCCCCTACTGGAGATATGCCTGCAACCAATGTACATGCCCTTGACTGGAGTCGAACCTGGGACCTCTCAGTCTGAAGGCCAACGCTCTATCCACTGAGCCCAACCAGTTTCGGCAGTAGCACTACCTTTTACTACTTCTCTCTGGCATAAAGTGTTAAGGAAGAAAATTGACCTTCACTACTCAGTCCTTGTAGGTGTTTCTCTCTTCTCTGTTTTCAGTATGGAAAGAGAGCAGGTCCAGTTTCTGAGTAGAGGAGCTGGGGATTGAGAAATAAAAGAAAGAAAGAAATAAGACACAAAATGGAAAGAAAGAGCTGGGAGCTGGATGTGACCACCATCCTTTCTGATGGAGGGAAAAGGACCCAGAGCTGATATAGCAAGTTTATTTTATATCCCCAAATACCAGGAATTTTCACCAAAAGTTAAGATCAAAGGAGATTATTTGCATTCAATGGGAAGGAGAGCATTCCTGATGCTTGACTGGATTTACATATGAAAAACCCACTACCAGACACCTGGGCAAAAATAAGAGTCAATGCTGATAACATCCTTGCCTTTTTGGCACTGTGTTCCCAAGGTGTGGCTTTGCCTGTCATCACTGGGTTCAGCCTGCAATAATTACAGAATGCCCATATGCCTTCCGCTGTCTACCCAGTTCTTACTTTTAACACCTGGTTGTGTACCTAAGAGTCTGGTCCTCAAACTTACAGGACCCCACATACCTCCTTTCTCATGGACCTGCCTTTTCTTTCCCTGTACTCCCTCCCTCCCATCAGAAAATTCAGAGACACATAAACATAATTTTATTATGACTCAATTTTTATTTTAATTATAGCCAATATTTCATCCTGTTGATGTAAGATTCAGTCTCTATGTAATTGGCCATTTCTCAGAAACCAGGCCTCTGGAGACACAGCAGATATTTCTGAGGTCTCTGGCCTTTTATATTCAGCTACTAGCTGTACAGGTAATGTGAAGTGATGACATCTCCACGGGCCCCCTTTTCTGGGTCTGGATGAATTCATCTCTTATTCTGATTCCTTCTCTTTTGATTGTGGCTCTTCTTTTGCTTCTGTCTCTTATTTTTATTTTTTATTTTATTTTGACTTTGTTTCTTATTAAGCATATAATGACAGATGGATATTGTTGGCTTTCTTGTCTTTTTAAGCTTTTTTGAGTGAGTTACAAATGTTTGAGACTTATTTCTTGAATTCTCTTGAAGAGGTCTTTTAGCCTCCACAGTTATCTTTGGCATCTGGAAGGGCAATAGAGCATATGATCCCGTGGGGTATTAGTTTAGAGAAAGTGGAGGACTTAATGGAAAGGAGAACTAAAAGGGATACAGGCCAGTGAAGGATGTTGTGCCAGTCAAGTATAGTGAGACATCATGAGAGTAATGTTAATGAGGAAGAGGAGGAGCTTGGTAGGAGTCATCTTACCTTGACACCACTTCTGGATCTTGGCTGACAGGGGGGCTTCCTATTCTTATTTTTTATCCTTGGGTTTGATTGTATAATAAATGTTATAGGTTCCTGTGGTTTCCTGGCTACTTCAGTCATGATGCTAAGACCTAGTCTAATCCAGAGCCTCTTACCTCCCGGTATATATACCCTTCAAGGACAATGGGGAGCCAAACCCTTAGTTTGATTGGTCATCTGGTAGCCCAACCAATAGTTGCTAAGGAGGCTTATACATCACAAAGAACCACTTAATACATCAACACGGGATGATAGATGCTGAGGAGGCTACAAAATGGTTTTGGAGTGATTTGGGGGAAGGCAAACATTCTATGGTTGGATAAAAAGGGTTTTACTCTTTCACCTTCTAAGGAATATTCCCAAACTGACATGATAACTTTCCTCATAGTTCATGATCAATTCTGGAGGCTCACATGGCATAGAGAGGATATTTTCTTTAAGTCATTCCTTATGGCCACCACTGTTCAATGGTTAATTCTATTCTCTCACACCCTTCATCATTAACCTAGTATTTTGAATATCTTACCTAAAATCCATCTAAGCTAATATGGCCTTATTTAAGTTTTAGAAGATAAGTGAATTACCCTTTTTATTTCCTATTATAATGGATAAAATGAAAAGATAGACAATGTCAAGTGTGGACAAATATTCAGAACAACTGGAAGACATATACAATGATACAATCAATATAAAATGATAGGTGACTGTGTGTGTAGGGGGGAGGGGGGAGGGGATTAACCAAAGAATTTATAAGCATAACCCATGGACACAAACAATGTTATGGTGAAGGCCTGGGGGGTGGAAAAGATGGTGGGGATAACTGGAGGAGAATAAAAGTGGACATCTGTAATACTTTCTACAATAAAGATAAAATTTAAACAAATAAATAAGTAAAATGACACAATCACTTTGGAAAACTGGTAGTTCTTCAAAAGTTGAATAAAACTCTCATAGGATCCAGCCATTACTCTCAATTATTTATTTAAGGAAAATGAAAATACATATATACGAAGACTTGAAGAAATGTCCAAAGCTCTATTTATAATAACTTCCAAACTAGAAACAATGCAAATACCTGTTAATAAGTGTGTGGGTGAACAAAGTATATCCATAATGGAATGCTACTCAGTAATACAACATAGTGAAATCTGGCACTTCAACGACATCCTATATAATAAAAGGCTAATATGCAAATAGACCAAACAGGCAGAACAAACAAACAACTTGATATGCTTGGTTGCTATGATGTGCCCTGACCATCAGGGTATGCAACCAGAACATGGCGGGTGTCGGCAGCAGAGAAATTACTTTTGAGGTTTGGGGAGGAGGGTATTAAGAGATGTTTCTCAGGTAACAGATCAAACTTAGATTTATTTAAGCACTACACTTACACCATTCTCTTAAAATCACTTGCAAGGGTAGTGTTAACCCAATTTTGTAAGTGGGGAAAAAATGACAATTAGAAAGATAAAGCATCCTATTCATGTTAACACAGCTACTAGTAATTAGAAATTGAGCATAACTCTGATTCCAAGCTTAGTGCTTGTGCTCCTAAGGTCATGCTGTACTTAGTAGAGCCATTTACCAGTAATTTCTTTCATTTTTCATAATATAGAGATGAATATAAATGTGGGCCTGTTGAGAGTTTTGTGAAACTGACTTTATAGCTGGACCTAGAATGTTTTTTAATGTTTTTCTACAAAGATCATAATAAAAGTAGACACTGGTGCCTCATTGTATTTTATGCAGTACTTCTCAAGTTTTAATGTACTTAAAAGCCACATTGGGATCTTGATCAAATGCAGATTTTGATTCAATAGCTCTAGGGTGGGGCCTGAGATTTTTCATTTCTAACAACTCCCAAGTATGCTAATACTTCTAGTCCATGGGCCACTCTTTGAATAACAAGGTTAAAGGATATGATTCATCTGGGCCATTCTTGAACTCCATTTTAAGAAAGATTTCTTCTACCAGTGACAAGAAAACTTAGTTATGACCTGTTTTGTTTTGCCTATGATGTATACTTATTGATATGATAGTAAACTACCAGGACATCTGAGTTGTTTTCTTTTCAATGTGTCTGAAATTTGTCCATTTATTATTCTTGGATTGTATTAGTTCTAGTTGGGGGTAAATAACATATGGTGGTGATGTGTTGCTCCTCATCAGATGCACCTTTTCATTTTTCTATGTTAGATCTTATATTCTCTCCTATTTTCCCTCCTATACTGTTCAGTATGAGCACTTATGTGGTTGACAGGGCTGACCACTCTATGTTCTATGAATAGCCACAGTTAATATAAATATTAAAGAAGAATATCTATCTGTTTGCTTTGTAGAAAATCTACACAATCATAACAGTACAGTTATCTACGATAGATTGTCATTGGATCTACTTAATTGAAAGCATGGCTGAATAATTTTTTAAAATTTTATTTAATTTATTGGGGTGACTGGTTAATCATTTTTTAACATCTCTCAAATATAGTGCACCTGTAATGGGTCTTTTTTCCTTATTGAAATAGCATTATGTACAACTGAATACTGAAAGTAGAACATTAAACTGGAGAGTATTCTGTCCTTTGATTTATTTAGTGCTCATGAGGGTCTTTTTACTGAAGGATAATTCAACAAGGCAGCCTTGCTAGGAATGACTAAGTCTCTCTAAAATGATTAGACCCACTTACATAATTTAATACTTTTTAAATTTATTTTCTTTTAAAATTACAGTATATATTAAATAAACTGTATTAGTTTCAGATATACAGCATAGTGGCTAGACAATCATACTTTACATAATGGTCCCTCTCAAATTTTCAAGTATCCACCCACACTGCACATAGTTAATATACTATTATTGACTACATCCCCTATGCTGTGCTTTACCCCAGGACTAGTTTGTGACTACCAATTTGTACTACTTAGTCCCTTAATCTTTTTCATCAAATTCCCCTATGCCCCTCCCCTCTGCCAACCATCACTCTGTTCTCTTTGTCTGAGTCTGTTTAAATTTTGTTTGTTCTTTATTTTGCTCTTTAGATTACACATATAGATAAAATCATATGGCATTTGTCTTTTTCTCTCAGACTTATTTCATTTAGCATAATACTCTCCAGGTCCATCCATGCTGTCATAAATAGTAAGATCTTATTCTTTTTATGCCAAGTAATAACCTATTGTATAATGGATATGTACCACATATTTTTTTTATTCACTCATCTATTGATGGGCACTTGGGTTGCTTCCATACCTTAGCTATTGTAAATAATACTGCAAAAGCATAGGGATGCAGAATTTAATCCTATAAGGAAAATCTCAAAGGAAAATAACCAAGAAAAATAATCATATGAAATTAGGAGTAAAAGTAAATGATATTTCTGGAGAGTGTGGAAAACACAAAAGGATTTGGAAAAAATTAATTTCGTTTAGAGAGAAAAGGGACAGAATGAATATATAACCACCAGAAAGCTTCTTCGTTCTTTTCTTCTAATGATGAAAAAGAGTAATATTGCCAACATTTAATTTTAGACCAAGAAATAACAAGACATGATCTGACTTCTTATTATACCAACTACTCCCTCTTGCTCATTTATTTCTACTCTACCACAAATTACTTCATTACTTTGAAAGGATTTTTTTTAAGTCTTGAGTCATTCTGGAAGTCTTTCCAATTATGTCTGAACAACTAATATTAGGAATTGCTTTTTAAATCTTTAACCTCTTGGAAACAAATAATATTCTAATAAATTGACATTGCTTGTGTCATTTATTTAATACTCATTCCCTTATAAACATTGTACTGCTCAAAAACAGTCTTCAGAAATACAGCTTCCCTTGTCTTCAATGACTTTCCAACAGTTCCAATAAATGTCATTAATGCTTTCATTAAGAAAATATTACTTTCACAACCCTGGATTTTAAAATATTTACTCACTGATAACATAACATGTGTCTCACTTAGAGAAATAGATGTGTTGGTTCCTCAAAGGCTTTGCAAAAATCAATAGTGTGCAAACTGATCCTTGAGATCATAGGGAAATTCTGTTACTTTGAATTTCAAAATGTTTTCATCATATTTCTGATGGATTCAAAATTGTCAGAAGGCTCTTCAGTGGTCCCCTTTTAGCCATATGTAGCAAAGGAACTGCAAATAGCCACAGTACTGAGAATAAGAGAAAACTTAAAGGAGGTATTTTATTAAGTCAATCCTTGAGGTTCATTTGTTCAAATTTTACAATATCATTTGGGGTTTTGGTAACACTCCCCTGTATTTAGGTTGGAAAAAATATCAATAATGTCAGACTATTAAATCTTCCAAAATCCTCAGGGAAACAGTCTCAATAGAGAAGGGCTTTCTGAGTTATTCCTCCCCCTCTCCTACTATTCACATTTCACTACTTTTCTAAAAGCGTCTTTGAAATCACATATCCTTTTGGTCAGTGCTAGAAGAAGAGGGCTTTCTGACTGTGAAGCCAGCTCCTTCTTAGCAACAGATGACACACACGCACCCGGAATAGCTACAAGCTCTGTGCTCTCTGTGTGTCTCTTGTATGATCAGTGACAATTTTCTTGGTTTCCCCTCACCTGCTTCCTAGCTAGTAATTACCCAGAGACAGAATCTTTGTGTAACCCTGACTTACAGCTATTAGAATAGGATATAATTGTACCCAGTGTAATTGGCTTTAGTGCCAGAGCCCCATTAACTTGGCACGGCCATTCTTAAAGCAGCCTGTGATCTAGCTCATTAAATTTTAGCTTCAGTAATAAAGACAGTTTTGACCTTTGCTGTTTCTGTCTTAATATATTTATGCATATATAACACGTAAGGTATCAAAACAGAGTGTCATTGGAATGCAGAGGCAGGCCATACTTGTATACTCAGAGTGGCTAAAAATTGAGTTCCAAATGTGATGTGGATGAAGAACGTGACCCATACGTAAAGGTTCCTGAGTGGTCTGGTGCAAGAAAAGCATTCATCTTGGAATGTTACCCTCTTGCCCAGGCATCCTGCTTCTGTAACAACAAGGGCAGTTCTTGGCTGCTGAGCTCTGTGCCCTAGTGAAAGGGCATAGGAAAATCCC